AAGATAATCATAGCTTTATATTTCTTTTAATAATATAAATAAAATAAATAAAATCACATGATTATAAAATCATGTGACTTGTCGATCTCGGGTTTCATACACATAGTGTACAAATAGAAATTGCCTTATTAAAAAAAATATTAATTATATATTATAACAAAAAGATTTATTAATTACATTTACAGTATATAAAAATAATATAATATATAAACTACATCATTAACAAAGAAATAAAAACGATTTTTTAGAACTAACCATAAATGTAACATATGATTTTGTAATACTTCAGTTTAAAAATACGGTGGGGTGGGTATTGGAGAAAAAAAATATTGGTTAGTTATATAAATATATTGTATGTAAAATACAAATATTATATACTGTAACATACAAAGATAATAATAAAATAATAAATAATAAATAAGACCTATATTGTGTTAATTTGAAGCGTGACATTGGCCAAGTATTTCTATAACAGTACTTATCAAACAAGAGGTCTGCTGAAACTTAATTAACAAGCATTTAAAATAGATGCTTTTTAAAGCAATTATTCAGGAACGCATATACCGTTGGAACATGTAAGTCCATCACAGCATGGACTGTAGGAACAGCTGCTATTCTCTGGAACGCATCTTGGTCCTCCCCCTCTTCTCCTTCGAGCTATTAATGAAAAAAATAATTTTTAAATGTTTTAGTATTATTGAAAACGAAATAAAAAAAAATTCTAAAGATATAATTACCTTCAATTAACGGTGAAGCAGCCACAGCGTAGATAAGGCAAATTACAACAGTAAGCAAAAGAAATTTCATGATAATTTTAATATTGTAAAAAAGAAAAGAGTATTGAAATTTGAGAGTATGTTTTAATAACTTTTTCTTTTTTACAGAGTGGAAAGTGACCTTATATATATAAATTGTCAGTTGATTTCCGTTCTTAAGAATTCCTTAGTGAGATATCATATTATATTGTGTCTCTTTTCTTATTAGATTAATCCTTAATAATAAGTGTGACTAATTAAGAAAAACTAATTTGGTTTGTTTAACGTTAAAGGGATTGTCGATAGTAAATTATAAAATTTTTCGTATCATCTCTTTTTAATAAATTTAATATTATTACAAACTTAACTAAAAAATGGGCTGTACCAACGATACTTTCCTTATATAGTTGTTTTAAATATGGTTATCAATGAAAAAATAAAGTTTTTGTACGCCTGTAAATTGCTCATCGACCTTTTCGGTCATAGACCTTAAAGTGATAACCCAAAATCTAGAAACTTTAATCTTTTTTGAATGAGAAAAAAAAAGTCACAAATCTCGGTTCATTTCTCTCGGTACATAAATCACGGGGTGATCAATGAATTGGAAATAAATTAGCTGTAGAAAAAGAGAAAGCAAAGAAATAATGTGATGCCTAGGATTCGCGAACTCCCCTCTTCGATAGCATCAAACATATCATTTGCTTCTATCAAAAAAATTTTTTTCTCGCTTTATTCTATACAGTATGTAACGCGCACGTGAATAAAATTCAACTTAATCACCAGATCGGCAGATGGTTGGTATATGTGATACGAGTTTGGTGAGTGCTAGACCTTGTATAGAAAAGACTAGAAAATAAGACAACATATCCTTTAATTTTTTCACGAAATCGTTATACCAGATGTCTTGGATCTTTTCAGCTGAAAGGCAAAAACAATTCGGGAATTTGCTTCTATCGAAGTTTGATTTATTAAAAAGTAGCGAAAAATAAATAAAGATATCGGAATGTACATTACAAATCCGTCGTAACTTTTAAAGCATAACTCCTATATTCTTACATACGTTATCTCTTATTTTTTCGGTCTCGATTCTAAACGATCACCCAGAACGTTTTATTTTTCATCTGCTTGACTACAGAAAATTTGATCCGGAGTATGCACGATTCCATAGACGTATTCTGATCGGGTTACAACTCATCAAGCTTTGCGCTTTTGCTTTTGTTCAAGTTGCATCAAGTTTGAGCTACGCCTATTTTATGTCAATTTGTTTCGATGACGCAAGATAATTTCTTCATGGATTATTGCACGCACGCAAAGAATAATTAGATTTATTCTCTGTATCATTGATTTTTGGATTCCATGCGCATTCGAGAAAATTTATCGTAAGTAGATTACAAATCTTTTTTGACAAGTCTCTTTAAATAAATATTAATAGTTTTGTTCGATGATAGTATAATTTCAAGTTGTTTGTAGGTTCAATGATAGTCTTCGATTGAATTACCAAAGCGATTGGTTTACTTTTTGTTTTATTATACGAGAAACTTTTCCGGTGATCTAATCATAAACATTTTTCAATAATACATTTTGGAGTCTTTATTGAGAAAAATCTCTGGTAGCGGCAGTTGCAAATCCTCGAATATAAAAAAAAAAAAAATTTTTTTCTTAATCACGTGATGTATTTTCCCACCAATCTTAGAAATTTTTGTTACGAGATGTAAAGTTTAACAATCCGTTGTAACATCAATAATTTGATAAACCATCTTGTATTTCGTTGTTTAAATAACTATAGCAGTCTGAGTAATAGTTTTTGTTTTTATATGAACAAGGGCAATGGTTTGTTTCACATTTAGGAGTTTCTTCCTCTAATCCGATGTTATTACGTTGTATGCTTCATCATTAGCAATGTTCTCAAGTGAATGGATTGAAGAAATTAATTTATAGGATTCAATATCAGATTGCTTAATGATCATTTTACTCAATCTCTTTCAGAGAAGAGATGATGGTTTTGGTGATTACTTGTATAAAATAATAAAGTAGTAGACCAATTATTGATTAAATTATATATAAGGTTTCTTAGTTTAAAGTAGTTTTAACTACTAGATGTCTAGCACAAAATGTATTTAATGTAATTTTTTAAATTTATGAAATTTAAAATTTAATTGTGTCCCTTTACTCTTTTATACTTAGTAGAAATACTTGAATCATTTTTATTATTTTTATTATGATTTTATTTTTGAATAAAAATATAGTCTGATTATAAGTGATAGTAGATTAAGGTGATAAAAAATGATGGGTTAAAGTGGTGATAAAAATAAATAAAATGAAAATTTTATATTAATTGAATATTTTGATTTATATATAAACTGTATATATATATTGGTAAAGTTACTTATTGTAAATAAATAATATACAGTATTTCATATATATATACATATTTAAAAAGTAATTCCTTTCTAAATGAACATACGATATATTTTTTCTCTCAATACATACTCTTATTCAGTCTCAAACATATAGAAACTTTATAAAACAAAGGTTGCAGGGCAAAACCCAAATCTCATTTTGGCAAAAGTCGAAACCTTTTGGGTTTCGACGGGATTCGACGACGGTTTCGCCTGTCAAAACCACCAGATTAATTAAAAAAAAATTTTAAAATAATAATATTAATTAACATAAATTTTCAGCATATATGGAGTAATTCACTTAATTTGTTTACGTAATCGACAAAATCATATGTTAAGCGACATCATTCGCTAAGAATTATATCACTGCCTTCATGGTTAAACCTGTTAATTCCGGCCGAAATTAATTATTCAATAATAATGTAGTCAACAAATCAATAAATCGTAATGATTTACGACCTTTTTTTCTTATTTGCAATGATGTCAAATTGATCAAATATATTAACTACCATTAAATTTGTTTTGTGATTAATTGAATGATCATATTTACATCATACTATTCGTAAATTTTTACATTAAAAAAACCAATAAAAACCTGATCCTTCTGAATTTTATTTTCTCAAATTTTTCGAAAAAATGGCTACTGCTGTTCCTGCTACGGTAATTACTGATTCCGCAAAAAATTTAAATGATACCATGGTTGCCGTTGAGTGGCATGGTACTACTGACGTACGCATCAATACAAAACGTCAAAGACCTGTCCTTACTGTAAGTAGAATAAAATAAAAATAAATCCTTTGGGACGTTTGATAATTTTCCGAGATTGACCGATTATATAATCATTTGTTAGCAACCAACCGATGCCATTGTTCGTGTAACTGGAACTACTATATGTGGATCCGATTTACATTTGTATCATAATGAAATCCATGGGATGGAGAGAGGGGATGTCTTGGGTCATGAAGGAATGGGAGTCGTTGTTGAAGTATATATAATTACCTTTAATTTTTTTTTTATTTTCTTTTATGTTCTATACAAATGAATCTTTACAAATGATATATATATTTTTTTGGTGATGATTAGGTTGGTGAGAAGGTCGCAAATATTAAACCAAATAACCGCGTTGTTATTTCCGCAGTAATTGCATGTGGAAATTGTGAATATTGTCAAAATAAATTGTATAGCTCTTGCGACATCACAAATCCAAGTAAAGAAATGGAAGAATTATACGGTAATTATCAAGGTCTTTCTCCTTCCAGTTTTGTCAAATATCTAATAATTTTTTAATGGATTTTCAAGGTCATCGTACCGCTGGATTATTTGGATATTCCCATTTGACTGGCGGATATGATGGTAACGAAATTTTATAATCGTTCGAGTCTTTTTAATTTGCAAGTTGATCGTTATGACGCCTTTTTTTGAATTTTTACAGGAATACAAGCCGAATACGTTCGGGTTCCTTTTGCTGATGTCAATCTCCTTCAAGTTTCGGAAGAAGATTATCATGCTTTAGGGGTAAAAATTTATATATATATACATTACGGTATTATTATAAACAAAGAAATCTTTTTTTTTTTTTAAAAAAAAAAAAAACGATTTGATTGGTATTTTATAGGAGAAATTGGTCTTATTATCGGATGTTGCTTGTACTGGTTGGCACGCCAACGAATTAGGCGAAGTGTCTAAAGGTATTGAGAAATTAAGAGACTATCCGAGTTTTATACCGTCTTTTTTAATTATTTAATTGTGACACTTTCTTTTTCCATCTAGGTGATGTTGTTGGAATTTGGGGTAAGGAAAAAAGTCATATGCTAGTTGAGAAATAAATTTACTTGTTAATCGATCTTCATATGTTAAAATAGGATGCGGACCAATTGGTTTAAGCGCAATCGCATGGGCGAAATATCGTGGCGCGTCGCGTATAATCGGTATCTTGACATGAATTAAACTTCTTTCTTGAGAGAGATTTTTTATAGGTAATTCTTATAATTCTTTCGTTTTTTATAGCGATCGACTGTGTTCCGGAACGTTTAGCAAAGGCACATGATATTGGAGCCGAAACAATTAATTTCAAAGAGAATAAAGATATAGTAGGGAAAATGAAGGTGTTTGTTCCCGGTGGACTGGACGTTGCAATCGAGTGTACAGGATTTCGTTATACCAAAACCGTTAAACAACAGGTAGAAAAGTCACTCTTTTCTGAGACCGATAGTATTGACGCGTTAGGTGAAGCAATTCGTTGTGCTAAAAAAGGTAAGCTCGAGCGATTTTGAACTAATTTTGAACTAAAAAGGTTTAATAATAGCAAACGTTCACCGTGTTGTCGCAGGTGGAAGAATTTCTATCATTGGAGATTTTGTTGGGAAGGCCAACAATTTTCCGATTGGTGCAGTTATGGTAAGAAAAAGATTCTTGAAAGATTTGAGGCAATTAATTTCCCAATATAATTGAAAATGATGTTTTTTTTTTTATTAATGTTTAGGAAAAATCACTCACTTTGCGAGGCGGTCAAGTTCTAGTGCAAAAATATTGGGCCCAACTTTTACCAATCATGAGGTCGAATCAAGTGAACATGAATTTCTTTACACATCACGGAAAATTGGAAGATACCCCAAAATTTTATAAAATGTTTGATAAGAAAGAAAATGGGATAATTAAAGTCTTCTTGTGTGTGGGTGATCAGTGTAAAAGTCAGCATTAATTTTTTTTTGAAGTATTTACTGAACCATTAACTCGAGCATCTACTTCATTATCGGTATATGATTTACGAACTTACATTTTCTTATTAATTCTACGTGTGTTTACGTATATATATTTCTAAAATGTTTTTTATATAATAATCGCACTTTAAGAAACCTTTTTTTTTTTAAAACAATTATTTTTTATGTTGCGAATAAATCAATTTTGAAATTTTCCTTTCAGTGAACTATTTTATTGTATTCAGTTTTTGCGTAAATAATTTATTCAAGTTTTGCCTCAACATTCGGCGCTCTACACTTCCTAAATTTAATTTTATGCTAAAAAGAAAAAATAAAGAAAAAATAAAAAAATGAATACGATCCTGCCTAATTCCCCAAGAGTATACTATATTAAAAAGATTTTTAAAAAATAAAATTAAAGTACAAGAAATAAATAAATAAATTAAATATTAGTAATATAAAATAAAAAATAAAAATAAAAAAAATCTCGAATATTAAAATATTGTCCGAAGCAATGATGTCGTTCTGCCCTCACCCAATAGAATTCTGCGTTGCTGGTCACGTGCGTTTCACAAAAATTGAACATTAAAAAATCGCACAAAAAAAAATTGAAAAATTGAAAAATTAAATAATTATTATATACTTCGGACTTGAACGGTTACCGTTCCCTAGTTTTATATTTATTTGTTTTTATAGTAATTATTTATTTAATTTTATTTTTTAGATTTATTTTTTTAATTCGCTATTTAAAAAATCTATTAATAAAATCGCGGGTATTAAAAAAAATTGTATAACCGAAAAAAAATTAAATCTGAAATCAAAAAAATCAATTATTAAAATAAAATAAAAATTAAAATAAAAAAAATTAATTGAAAAGAAAAATTAAATTAGAAAATTAATTTAATTAATAAAAATTAAACTTCTTTTTTATCAATACAATTAAATGTTTTCAAAAATTATAAATGAAATTTTAAAGTTTAATTGAACTGATTACGCAATCAATCACTTATGACCCCGCAAACTCTAGTTATAAAAAAAAAAAAATAAATGAATGAATGATATGATCATAATCATCAAGAACTAAACTACTTTAATAATGCAGGTTCTCATTTAATTCACTTTATTAAACATGGAAACTTAATAATAATTTTTAAAACATTTTTTAATCAATACGTCATGAATTAAGGATCAACAATTTTTATAATTTGATTTATTTTTTTTTAACTTATTTATTTTATGTAAATAAATATATTAATTATGAATAATAAATAAAAAAATAAATTGTAAATTTCTCGTAATAATTAATGTCTGGCAATAACGATAGAAATATAAAAGGCTTAATAACAAAAAAAAAAAATGGTAAGCATTGA